GTGTGTGAAAATCCGAAAAAGAAGAAACCCAGCGTCAGATCAAAGAAACTCGAACACTGACACGACATTTTCAGTTCATGCTGCAGATGACATTTTATATTTAGTTAATTTTGTTGTGTTGTCCTTTGAAAGACACCCCTCGCCTGTCTATTATTATCTGTTATAAAAATACATGTAGGGACTTGAACCACTTCCATTTTCTGCTTTTAACTCTGTGTCAAGCTGATGGGCTTAAGGGCCTGCACAAGCTGACCTAAGAACAGATAGCAGGGGTAGGCTGAGGATTAAATGGTGCTCCAGGAGCGTGACCTCCAGAGTTTGATTATATGAGTGTGTGTGCAGCAGGGGTGAGGCATTAGGATGACTGAATTAAACCCCTTTATGTCACAAATCAGTGATTATGTGTCATTTATGGGGTCCTGTCTAAACTGCAACATAAGGTCAGAAATCCTGCAGCATATTAAGACAAGTCATTAAAACATTAGCTCTGAATGTTTTTCTTTTTTTTTAATTATAATGAGTGGGAAAGATTACAGGCAATTAAAAGCCTAAAAGCTAATTCTGGCCACTGGAAGCCTGGTTAAATACTCTGTGAGGCTGTCCTTAGGCACAGCAGTAATTTGAACTAACATGCACAGAGTGTAAATGTTCACTGCAAATATTTAATCATCTTAGCTAATTAGCAAGTACTCTTGCAGTACTGTGCGAGCGCCTCGAGTCACCCCTCATTTCTTTATATTTTACTTCCAAGAAGCCAAACTTTCATGTATTTCTATAAAGTGGTTGCGAGCAATAGTTCTCTGGGCTTTTTATTGGACCTTGGCTGCTTTTCTGCTCCTTTTTAGTCCACTCCTTGTACCTGATCATTTTTAGAAGAATATTTTTATTTGCTAAGAGACATCAAGTGGAAAACAAAAGTAGAAGTGCCAGGACTAGAAAACTTTTTTAAAAATTCACAGGACCTGGAAGATGCCTTTGACCATACTGTTACTCATCAGAAATGGCTGAGGGGAAAAAGGCTGAGGTTTGCTAAATTATACAGAAACTGGATTGAAATTCAATAGCAGCAGTATTTATGGAATGATGAATCCAAATTTGTATATAAACATATTTTTTTTGTTCCGATTGTCAGCAGTGAGTGTCTACAGGCTGTAAAAGACGGTGCAGGCTCTGTCATGGGGACATTATGGTTGTCTTGAGGATGTTTTTGGAATTATGAACTCAGGAAGGTACGGTTAGATTTTGATCCATCATGTAATCTGCAAAATGTTTCACTGCCAACTGCTTTTTTCAACAATGATGAGAATGGAGCAGTGCGATTTCATCTTAGCAAAGACCAGAATAAAAGGCAACAGGCCAACATTCATAGAAGACTTTGAATGTTCCTGAAGACTACTTAAAGAAATTATAAGAAAGTTTGCCTGAGAGGGTCCAGGTTGCATTGAATAATAAAGGCGTTGACTTTTAAACCTTTGGCTTATACATTGTTTTTCCCTCTATGTTTGCATGTTTTAAAAAAAACTACACCCATTTCATTTCCCATTTTCTAGCAAAATAGAAAGAAATAAAGGGTGGCTCAGGAATGTTGCACAATACATTTTTAAGAAGTTAATGGATTCTAAAGTTGTTACATTTTATCCTGTTGCACAACAATACACAGACTGATTCTTACATAGCGCTTTTCTACTCTCCTGACGTACTCATATACAACACATTCACTTTCTTCTAAGCTTTTTAGCGCTTCCTACACAACATTCATATTCGGATGGATGCTCTACCTCCTGAGATACAGCCACCCCTGTACACTGTGTTGGTTCTTTTGGAGCTAGAAGTTGCAATATATGAAAGAGAATAGAGTGCTAAGATATGAGCTAACATTAGCAAGCTTAATGCAAGGTAATTTGTGGGACCATTAAAGTAGTTGTGAGTAGTCGTGTTCAGGGTAGACCAAAGATGACATTGCCATTTATATAACCATTCCTTAGCCTAGCTAAAAAAAATATCAATACACTTGTAATATCTTTTTTTCACTTCTGGGTAGCAAAAACATCGACATTTTATATCCCTAATGAACTTTGGAGCTACAAACAAACCGTTTCATCCTTTCAGTGACACTGAGGAATGTCACCTGCTAGCTGCTAACTGAAACTGCCGGTTGTTTGATGTGAGAAAGGCTGGGCTAAATGTGTTCCGAGCATTCCTATTAAAAACTGCTTCCTGTAACCAGTGAGCTCGAGCTAAAACTGTAAACCTGAGAGCGGCGAGGCTAAAACAATAATCTGAAAGATGCTAATAAGCTTTGTTGATCTTAGGGGAACTATAAACGCTTTCACACCCATGTCCTTTACTTCAGTTCTCATCCGTCCATTTAAATCTCGGCTTGTAAACACACATTATATTCACCTGACAGACACTAACTGGGACTGATGGCCCGCCAGCATTTCCAACCTCCATGTAATTTGATGTTGTGTAAATCTTTGTCTCGCTGTAGGTGGGGTGCTGGCAGAGATGTCTCAAGGAAGATTAGCGGCGAGGCCGGCAGTCCCCCCGGGAGCATCACAACTGATTAAACCTACAGCTCTTATCTATCCAAGAGAACAGATCCACGATAGGCTGCTGCCCACTGGTTACTATCACCGCTCAAATGTCTAGATTAACCCACAAGAGCATCTGCAGCCTATTAGTGGGATTAAACCCATGAAGACAAGCGGCCATCCTGCTGTGAATTGGCTGAGGGCAATTAGTTCAAACCTTATTCCTAATGACTGATACTTTAATGAGCGGTGGTGACGAAAATTCTCAGATCCTTCACTTTTATGTATCCATCTAAAAATACTCCAAAATAGTCCCTAATAATTCTCATTTTTTAAAGCTGCTCAGGACCCTTAAACAAGTCGATGAAGCTGTGTTGTTGGAGAATTCAGTTTTACAACTCAAATCTTGCTTTATTTGACTTTTGTAGTTTTACAGTAAGATCTTTATCTACAAAATAACTGTAGTGGCCAGACGTAATAAACCCCCCCAACACAATCCTTTAAAATGTATTTCAGTAAAAGAACAAAGCAAAAATAACCACAGATACACACATCTTAAAAATTGACTTAGTGGTGGTCCTCATATAAATATACTTTCCCTCATTGATGAGCAGCTAGTTTTAACTTAACCTTTTTATGCCCTTTATATACCGCTATTTATCATTGAAATGCAACCCTTCATCATTGTTAAGAGAGGGTACAAAGTCAGTGAAGAGGTGAAAAAGTGAAGAGGACTCCTTGTAGTACAATGAAATAAAATGCATGCAGCAGTGTTGTGCTTTATGTATTTTGTATTATATTTACTAAGACTTACTGTTGACAATTTATTGCAATTTTGATTATAAAATATTTGATCCATTGTCAACAAAAGCGTTACTTGATGTTGTTTGGGTAGAATTATATTGATTTTTACTGGAGGGTTTCATCACTCAAGACTTCAAAACTCTCCTACGGTCTCCATGGTTGTTCGTGTTAGCCTTACTGTTGTTTCGTTGAATTCAGGGAATAAGCGTGCCTTTTTATTTCCTGGGGTAAATGCTTTTATTCATCCATGAAAGATCACCTAGACAATAACATTCCACTTCTGCATAACTTTTGTCAGAGTCTCACAGAAGTCCTTTTTTTTTTGTTTTTACAGGAAAAGAGTTCTTCCTTCCCGCATTCCCCAGATGCTACTCATAGGCAAGCGACTGATTGCCTGGGTTTTCCCTTTTTCCCTGTTATTAAAAACTGAACACTTTAAGAAGCCCCAACTCCTCTCAAAGGTCTTTGTTGTATATGAATGAACAATTATAATTAACAATTATATTCTCTTGCTTAGAAATCTTTTTTTTTTTTTTTAATTTTCCTCTTTTGTTTCTTTAAATTTTTTGAATAATTATTAATACTGAAGCCAGTGCTTGAGTATATCTATCTGCACTTGAAAGCCAAGCGCAGAGCTTGTTTTCTCTTCGCTAACATAGATACAGGCACCCTGCTCTATGTTGATGCCATCTACCATCCTCTTATCTCTTCATCCGTTTCCCGTTTCTGACGCTTTTCTACAGTCTTAAACAGGAAGTTGTATAACCTTCTGGCCTAGTAAATTCTCTGTAGGCGTTAAAAACAGTGCATAGGCCATTGTTGTTTCTAGCTTAAACCCCACACCCCCAAAACAACCCTCAAAAAAAAAGCAGTGTTGTCAATCCATTTCTAGTCTGTTGCAGTTCTAAGTTTATTTTTAACCTTTAAGAAATTTAAGAAAGAATTTAAGAAAACAAATGAACTCTTTGAAGCAATACAAAGGAGCACAAGTGTCATAGTTTTAAAGAAACATATTTATTGAAATTGTATAAAAATAGCTTCTAAAATAATTTACAATTCTAATTTGAAAAGATGGAAAAACAAAACAAATATCCAAGCTGCGATCATGCAGCCAGAAAAGTCTTCTCAGTCTCGCACTCACACTCACAACATTCACTCAAACAGCGCAACGAAAACCAGTTACCATCAGTAGACATTGGATGTTTACATACATTAGGATGGAAGTGCTTTTGGGACTATTTACATGTTATTTACAACACATACAAACATACACATCTGCTCTTTTCAAAATTTTCAAGCCATAAATATGGTCACATCTCTGCTATTCTTTTTAAATAATGTGGGCCCTTCAGTGATGGTGGAATGAAATATATATATATATATATATATATAATAATTATATTATATATTATATATATATATATATATATATATATATATTACTAATTGTTATATAATATATATATATACTACACAACCACACACGCGCACACATCAACAGCCGAAAATTCTCTCATAAATAAATAAATAAGATCTGTGACCAAAAAAACCCAAAACCTCATTGAGTGTGAAAAAGAAGACAGCAATAATAAATATCGTTCTTATTTACAATTCTCATCCCCAGCGATTCTTTTAAGACCTGCGTGAGGCACTGTTTATAAGAAAAAAAAAAATTGAAGAGCAGAGGATGTTATATCTCGGTATGGTTTTGCATTGTGGTGTGCATTCAGGTGGGTTTGAATGAGCGGTTGCCTAAGCCTTGTGTTTGTATACAACACAAGAAGGAGGAGGAAGCAAAGGTTGTAGAATAGAGGTGGATGCTGTAGTAAAGAGTGAGGTAAGTCCAGTTTTTTTATGATTTGTTTGCACAGGTTGCTGCCAGAGCTATGAGGTTGTCTGGTTGCTAATGACATTGGAGTAGTAGAAATAGTGATAGTAGTGGTTATAAATGGCATAGGCTTTACTGATCTAGGCCCACGAGAGGAAAAACAGTGACAGCAATAAACGCTATAAAGCCTTGTAGAGCGTAAGGAGCAAAAAGGCCATTGATGAAAAGCCTTTTTGCTTCACAAATTCAAGTATTTTCAGGCGCCTACCCCCCCAACAATCTCACAGAAGGCACTTTTCTTTGAGAAAACAAAAAAACAAAAGTCAAGCTTCTCTTCACCAGCGTCTTTGCTTTTCCCTCTTTGCTGTGATCTCGAGGGAGAGAGCGGTGCAACGAGAGCTTATGTAACTCTGTCCTCTTGCCATTCAGCACAACAGCCACACAGGTGTGTGTTTGCTCAAAGCAGGTGTGTCCAGAGCACGCCCTCCTGCAGACTCACGGACGTCCGGTGCCTAGATCAGCGTCCAGCGAGGATGATGTCATGACACTAATGGCTGGGAAACTCAAGTAGTTGGGGTCGTGACAGTGAACAGGGTCTGACCCGCCAGGCCGAAACTGCCAGATGTGTGCAGTTGCATACACTTTGCTCTGGGGTGTGGGTGGCCAACGTTCCTCTCCACTCTGCTTCAAGTCTTTTGTATCAGTGCAGTCCAGTTTGGACTATAACAGCCCAATTGTAACAGTCCGCGCCCGTATCATCGAGCCACGGCCACGGGGGTGGGTGTGAAGGCTGAGGGCTCGTGGCCGATGCTGTGCAGTCTGATTTCTGTGGTCTGGCTCTCTGTCTGCACCGAGGACGGTACTACAGAGGAGGACATGCTCTGCATCCACGAGTGGTTGAAGATGTCCTCGAAGGACGGGCGGTCGGCTGGCCGCAGAGACAGACACCATTTGATTAGCTGCTGGCATTCTGGTGAAAAGGAAGCAACATGCAATTAGTCCTGGTCAACACATGAGTAAAGTAGATGATGTGCAACGTGTGACTGAAAGGCTGGTATATGAGCTGCAACGTGGGTTTACCTGATGAGATTCTTCTCCGGAAGAAGACCTGCCCCCTCATGATCTCCTCATCATGTTCAAATGGGATGTCCCCGCACACCATGTCATACAGCAGAATACCCAGGGACCAAACTGTGGCAGAGCGCCCGTGGTAGCGATGGTACTTGATCCACTCTGGAGGACTGTACACTCTTGTGCCTGTGAGACAAAAATAAAACAACAGAAACAAATTAGCTTAAAAGGTGTACTCTTTCTAAAAGAAAATTTGAAAAACTCAGAAAACCATGTGACTTATCATAACACAGTAATAGTGAAAATGAAAATATTTCTGGGGAGAGTTGAATGATAAACAAGGACTGGGGATTTGTCAGCTGAGCCTGTTTCTCAGGCTGTTATCTGGGCTCAGGTGCCAGGCAGCGTGACAGGCAGTTTTTGCGTGCGGTAACAGAGTGCACTGGAGGGAGGGGGAGCAGACATGTGACTTTGTTTACAAACTTTGAGTTGTAAAAATACCACTTCCCTCCAGTGGGGGGCAACAAAACTAAGGCAAAATCTTCCAGCATGTACTAAAAGGCGGCTGTGTGGAGTATGATTACACAAGCTGGGAATTTCTGCTGTGGTCTAAACGGGCAAAAACCTTATAACCCTAATGATGTCGATAAAAAGTATATGTAAACAAGTTAGGTGAAAAACAAAAACAATATACAGCGCACCATATACTGAGCGCAGTGAACTCACCATCAAAGTCCGTGTAAATGGTGTCCTTCAGCAGGGCTCCGGAACCGAAATCGATGAGCTTCATCTCCCCGGTGCGGAGGTCGATGAGAATGTTCTCGTCTTTGATGTCCCGGTGCACTACGCCGCAGTTCTGGCAGTGCCGCACGGCCTCCAGCACCTGGCGGAAAAAGCTCCGCGCCAGGTCCTCCGGTAAGGCACCTTTCTCGGTGATGAAGTCGAACAAGTCCTTGACGTTCTCGGGTCTCTCCATTACGATGATGAAACTGTCCGGTCGCTCGAACCAGTCCAGCATCTTGATAACGCCGCGGAAGCCCGTCCCGACCTTTTTCAGCAGAACGATCTCCATTGGGACCCGGGAGCCGTTAGGCTTTAGAGACAAATGACAAATACAGCATTCAATACACACGTACACGCCCTAAACAAACCCGCATGTTTGGGTATTGATAAGTAATATGTTTTTCATCTTAATTAAAAAGGCGCTAATAATAAAACTGCTTCTTACCAGCTCTCCCCACTCCGAGATTCTGTCCTTGGCTACATGTTTGACAGCGACCTGCCATGGCAAAGGAGAGACCGCGTCACACAACGTGTACAACAACCGCACATGTAATAACCATGACAAATAAATGAGCACATAAAAAACGTATTCTAATATTAAAACATGGCGTACTAACCGGAGCTCCGTCGGCTATCTTCGTTCCGGAGTAGACGGTTCCGAAGCCGCCGCTGCCCAGCACGGCGCCGACCTGATAAAGCTTCTCGAAAGGCTCCCTCTCTTTCACTGCAACACAGTATAAACATAGCCGGTAAATACCGGAGAGCAAACCCGCTTATCCGCGCTGGAAACAGCACAATATAACGGCGCTAATATAAGAATATAAAATATTGCAACATGGCTAACATTACTGTTAATAAATGGCCGTCCTCGCCAGTTATTAAGTTAAACTAGCTGCTAGCGTGTGTAGACTGAGCCACTGCTGCAGCGCCGTCCTCCATGACAACACAGCGGGGGGAGAAAAAGGGCGTCTAACCTTGATGAACCTGGAGCTGGATTTTCGCCGGCATGTCTACGGTGGAGATGTGGGCCAGAGAATTGAGCTTGGACAGCAGCATTCCTTTAATATCCACCGCAGGTCAACGACGTGTGCCCTCCGTCTTCGTTTTTGTTTTGTTGAAAGGAGTAGTTTTATTCCGACAGTACGTCTCTCCCGTGCTGAGCTCCGAGTCCACGTTGCAGGAACAAAAATGCGGTAGGGATCCTTTCATCCGAATAGCAGACAAAAAAAACAGTCCCTGTGGTCCAGGAAAATATAGCCAAAAACGTAGTCCCGGCAAAAGGATGAAAACCTAACGCGAGCTACGGCAGTTCCCCTGCAATGTTTTGTAAACAGTTGAGTAAAAATGCGCGATATAAAGAGATAAGGCAGGGTTCAACCTAGTGCCTCAGTCTGACACCGGCTCCTGAAAATATCTGATCGGGGGGGGGGGGGGACCCTTATATGACTATAGTAAGGAGGCGGGTACCAAATGCTGACGTCTACATTGGTCCCGCCCTCTTCCGCTCCTCTACACCAATAAAAAGCAAATACCACATGTCAATCACAGACTGAAAATAAAGCTAACCGGCCTGCCAGACACAGACGTGGCGGGAATCAAAACGCGCCAAAAAGGGAGAGACTAAAGTAATAATTATGAATTCATGTTGGAGGGGAATGCAAATCCAAGGCCAAGTGCTTGTCTCCTCCCTTCTCGGGAAACCAAACCGGGTGGGGTGAGGGGGATATAACTAGACCATTAGGAATAAGACTGAAGATAAAAGGGCGGCACTGGTGAAGCTGCATATAACATTTTGTCTACTCTCTGGCATAGCTTGATATCACCTGCAGAGCGTTTCCCTTTTTTTTTCACTGTTTGCAGGGCACTTGCTAAGCCTGCATTTAACAAAATAAACACCCTGTTGCTGCACTGAAGCATCCAAATTGCTTCATAAAGATATTTGTGCTTATAACACACACATTTGTATGCACTCAAAGTATAGATATGACCTGAGAGTAGTTCATCAATTTGCACTTCAGTTATGCTCACCCCCTGCCAATCACCTGATTAATTTCACATTCAACACAAAGCTTTATGGCATGAAGTGAAGCCCAGGACTGCGCTTTCAGTTGACAATGCCTCTCAACTGGCTGCTGCATCAAAGAGGCGCTAGTGAGAATAGCTGCATTCCACTCATTCTTTCAAATTGGGTGGCCGTGTCTGCAGCCGTTCACAGGATGTGGGAAACTAGAGATAAATAGGCTTCCATTTACCCCCCTCCCCAGGCCCCCTCCTCTTTTTGCCCTCTCTGCTCCTTCTCTCTCCGCCTTCTTTTTCCCGCGCATGTTATTGTCTGAATGGCATGCTCCCTTTCCCCCACCCATGCTTAAGTTGCATTTTGTTTTCCTTTGAAATTTCACAGCAGATCTTAAACGGTCATGCTACTGATTTATTGCGTTTCACATGTATGTCGTGAGATGACGCACCCCAAAAGAATAAAACAGTAAGTGGTGTGTGGGTGGATGAGAAACACTGCTTTGTAGATACACTACAGTTTAAAAAAAGGTGACAGATAAAGTGCAGATGATTTACTATTTTGCAGCTTTGGTTTGTATTTAGTGGCAGAGATTCGTTTTTTGTAGTTTTTTTTTAATGCACGGGCTAGCATGCACAAAAATGTGTGCTTAATGCACCATGAAGGTCATTGAGTGCATGTAAGGGAAAAAAAGACTCAGTGGGCTACTCTCTTAAGGTATTTTCAGGTCAGTCTGGCTTAGTGGAATGACAATGAGAGAAATACATGCATTTGGGACACCCTGGGCAAATTCCTTCAGCCCTAAAATGTTTGAAGACAATATGCAAATCAGGTGCAGAACAATGTAACCAAATGTCAATCTCATTTAAAAGGCTTCCTTCAAGTACTGGTGTGGATGAGGGCTCTGTAACCAAACATATGTACCTTCCTTCTTTCTTTAGGATCTACACCAGCCATTCTTCCTGGGTGTAGATTCCATTTGAGGACAACAGGGAGGCAAGGGGACACACATAAAGTAGCCCCCAGTAACTGTTGACTTTCAGATACTTCATTTCCTGCATTCTTTTGTAAATTTTAGGCGCCAGTTTGCACACATTTTTCTGCATTATTTGAAAGTAGAAATGCATCGCCAGCTCAACATCTACTGGACATATGTATGGAGTGTCTGTGAGGCCTTCTGCATTGCTTTAAAAGGATTATTCTGAACCCTTTCCACATTAACATTATCCCCACTGAGTCGAAAGATGTAAGCATTATTTGCTCTGTCCTGTTTTGTTTGCTTGGCTCCAGACGTCAGAGTCAAACTGTAATGAGTTTATAATTCTGTGTGACATCAGGCTGTGTTTGTGTTTTTTGTTTGGGGAAGTATAACCTTGTCATCTGATAACATTAATGATAAATTCATTTGCTTAATTTATAACAACCCCGCCCCCAGACTTTAATAGACTTTAATAGCGGCTATGCTTCAGCAAGATTGCTCCCCATGTTCAAAACCTTCTGCACTTTACTGAAGAGATTTTGAAATGCCTAAGTTCCTAAAACAGAAGCCAGTGCAAACACTGCTATCCCATTTAGTGCCATTTAGTGCCCATTATCATCAATGGAGCTCCAGTGGAGAGGGTGCAGTCCTTCAAGTATCTTGGTGTCCACATCTCCTCAGACCTGACATGGGCTGCCCACATTCAGGTCCAGACCAAAAAGGCTAGGCAGCGCCTGTATCACCTACGACAACTGAGGAAGTTGAGGGTCTCTCCAAAGATCCTCAGGATTTTCTATACAGGCGCTGTGGAGAGCATCCTCACACAGAACATGACATCGTGGTTTGGGAACAGCTGTGTGAAGGACCAATAAGCTCTCCAGAGAGTGATCCGTACAGCAGAATGCTGCTGCAGGATTGCTCTCCCCCCGCTTCAGGACACCTACACCAGGAGATGCCGGACTAGAGCAGCGCAGATACTGAAGGACCCGTTCCATCCTGGCAACAAACTGTTCCAACTTCTGCAATCTGGTAGAAGGTTCCGCATCTTCCGGGCAAGGACAGAGAGATTCAAGAGGAGCTTCTATCCCCAAGCCATCCGTGCCCTAAACACACACACCCGCCCTCTCACATCATCTATAATTGACTGAGACAGGACTCTTCCAGACACTAAACCAAGGCACAATGTACATTTCAATTCCTTTAATTTTAAATATGTTTATATTGTCTAGCCTGTAAAATAGTCAGATGTCTATTCATATTAATGTACAGAATTCACCTGCTTGCTGCTACTACTGCACATTCACCCAGTGTATATACTACATATATATATATATATAATGTTCTTCCTCTACACCCCCCCCCCCCTCCCCAATTTTTTTGCACATGTCGAGGAGTGTGTCAGGCTACATTTCACTGTGTGTTATACTTGTATAACTATGCATGTGACAAATAAAGGACCTTGAACCTTGAGGCAGGCTCCAAAAAGTAATAAACATAAACTTTATTTGTATAGCACAAATTAAGAAAAAAACAAAAACAAAGCAGGAACACATCGTGAAACCTTGAGATTAGCCTTTATTAGCCTTTACCATTACCAGCTTGGTTTCAGAAAACCTCATGATAATACCATTTAATCTGTAAAAGGTCATTAACATGATGGTGGCCAAAACACTAACGTGTAAGCTTCAAACCTTTCCTCTTCTTCTTTCAGATTTCATGCAATTTCTTGCATCTTGGTTATGCTTCACTTTTCCATAACACGTACACTCCCTCCCTGCACCATTTGCCTTTTATATAAAACATTTCAATTAGCATTCATGTTGCTTTTGGTATCACTGTTTTATCAAATATTTAAACCAGCATTGTGCATGCTCATGTACAGTGTACAGTCTCATTCTGCTGCAATAAAGAAATCCAGTTGTATAGAAGTCTATTGGAAAATGGCCCTTGGCTCCCTTGATCTCTGTGTTACCCTTTTCTGAGATGGTGATAGCAACTTGCTCGAACAGTTTTTCACAATGCAATGCACCAAGTGGGTAGGCCCACCTCGTATTCATTCAGATTTCATTTACACACCTTTCAGTTCCTTTATATGTTTGCATTAATCAGACTATGACCTTTTAAGGCCTTGATTTTAATGTCACTGACCAGGCTTTGTAGCTTAAATCACATTTGCCACACTTGTATTCGAATTGAACATAGCTTCAGTGTCTAAATATATGTGAATAAGTGGATAATCTATGAAACTGTTGTTAATGCGTTTATGTCCCTGCTGTAATAATGTAAGGGTAAGTGGTGTACAGTGGCATGGGTTCTGATGGGAGTGTGCGCTTCATGCCCAGTTAGGGGCACAGGAGAAGTGTGTGAAAATGAAACGATCCAAAGCAATGAGTGCCACAGTGAAATGCCACAAGTGAGTGCATCATCTTTCTGTAGGCTGCAGATATTCCTGCCTGCATGATCAGCAATGCTCAAATGACAGCCATCTAAGCCCATCTGTCAAAAGGACAGGTTATTAGTTTGGGACCAGCTGCTCACTCCAATATCCTGACGTATTTCCCCTAAGGGGAGGGCGGCAGGTTCTCAGTGTAAAGCAGGGCATCCCGCTCTTTATGGTCGCCGAACAGAGCCACAGTGACCCATGTAATGGGCTGGTGGGCTCAAATTTGTAGCAGGTTTTTCATTTACATCAGTGTTATTCTGCATATTGAAACTTTAGAGGCCACAGGATAAAAAAGCCACATAGCTAAAGTTGGCTTGCATAATATGTCTATGAATTACTTCCTCTTTCTAGAGAAATGAAAACCATTTCCACTGGAAAGTTTCACAACACCAATGTTTGTGTAGAATGACTGGTCATAATCAGTATGTGCATAACCCTTTGTAAATATTTGGATAAAAGGCACTTTTATTCTGAGTTTTATGAGATCGCTAAATGCTTAACGTAGCAAAACAAAAAACAGACAAACAAAAAAAACCTGAAAAGAAAAGAAAACAAGACATCATATCCAGTGAAAATCTTGATACTGTGAGCTGGCTTCTTTGGGAGGGAGCTTGCCATAAAGAAAATTGTTATCTCTGTTACCTTTTGGCAAACTCCTGACTTGCTACTCCACCTTCGCGCTTCCTGTAAAAGTTATGAAATGTCCGATATGACATATTTATTAAGAACACATTGCCTTTCAAGGAGATGATTCACTTTCTCTCTCACCCACATGTGTGACCTCTTTTTCACTCCTCTCAGTCTTTCTGGATTGGGGTAAAAAGTGAAACACCACTTAAGACACGTGTCCATCCATCAATCATTAACTGCTGGCCGGGCCGCCTTCTTTAGCTGAACCACAGTTCCCACCTGCTGTAAGTAGCAGGAAAATGATCACAGAAGGTCACGAGATAAAGGTCCACTAGTGGTTCCAATGAGTTAAAC